ATGCCCGGCGCGTTCGACCTCGGGGGCTGGCTCCGCTGCTCCGTCGACGGCCTGGCCGAGCATGCGGCGGTGGCGGTGGGCCTCGTCAGCCCTGAGGAGGTGGCCCCTGACAACGAGGTTCTCCTTCGCACCTCCCCCTGCTCTCTGGGAAACGTGAGACTCGAGTACGCCAGAACTTGGGTTCGCCGACGCTTTTTGGTGAGCGCGTCCTGGACTCAGACGGTTCAGTTTTCGTGAAATGTCTGCAGCGGGGTCTCGTCATTTCCATGATGGCCTTGTCAGGCCAACCCGAGTCCCCCGACCCCGAGTTGACGTCTCCCCGACTCTCTCGAAGGACAAAACGGCCTAAACGTAAACGGGACCTCGCGCTGATCCAAGGAATCCGCGCGGAGCTCCGAAGGTGTATGTTTATGCAGGTGGTTGCTTTTCTGCTCTCCTCTCGTGCTCGTCGTCCTCCGACACCTTCCTCAGGATGGAGTTCCTTGGAGGCTACATTCAGCATCGGCGCTGGCAGATCTTTGCTCGAAACCTGGCCTGGTCCAGCATACAGTCGGACCGAGGTATAAGATCAAGGTCGGTTCGGGGAGGGAACCCTAATGGTCTTCGTGTTTGTTGGAGGCTCTCGTGCATCCCAGGGGGAGTACCTGTAGACGTTCTGATCGTTTTGGCCGACGGAGGGTCTCATGTTGAGGGATGTTCTTCTGGCCTAGGTCCGACTGCAATCGCATGTAATCCCGCTGAATCTGGCTGCATCCCAGGCTTGCTCCGGCCCGATCGGGCACAATGGCACCTCTGTCGGGGTCAGTAGCCCTCTACCGTCCTGGCGAAGAACTCACAGGCGAGTTGGCTTCTCACTTTCCTTCAGCTGCTCGCCCTGAGGTCGTTCGCGGGGCCCACCGGACGGATCTGTTTGACTCTAGTTCGAATCCACTTCGATCCTAGGTGGACTCAGACTCGACTCAAGTTCGACTCAGGTTCGACTCAAGTCAACGGACGTTCGACGCAGCATCGACGCACGAGTGGAGCGAATGGCTCCGGGAAGATCCCCAGAACGAGCATCCAACTTTGTTCCTGCCGTCCCCCAGGCCCCCTCGGCCCCGGGTCTTTTGCCAACTCGTCCTGGTTCTTGCTCTTCGTCATCGTCGGCGCCCTCTCTTCTCCTCCGCGAGCTCCCGTGCTCATGCATCACACGGGGATCCACGGTGCATCCGGGCCTCCGGCCCGCCCGCCGTGCTCTCGCAGGGCCGTCCTTCCGGACATCTCTCGGCGCCTGGCCCCCTTGAGTCGGAAATTTGGACACATACATCACCAGTGACGGGTTGTTTTTTCCACCCCAGGACTTGCTTGAGGGTCGGGGGCGACGTCGGGGTGGTGTGGTGTAAACTTTTTTCCTTGTCTTCCTGGGGAACCCACGAAGAATGCATATGCCAGGATCCCGTACACACCAGGATCCGCGTTCCCGTGCGAATTTCAGCGCAGGGTCCGAAAAAGCGTCGGTGTATAGAGTTCGGTTCCCTACTTGAGCCCCAGCGGCAGAGGTCCCCGTCGCAGAGCTCGCCCGCCGCTTCTCGGCGGAGGCCCGGGCGCTGAAGGACGCGGTGCCCGCGGACGTGGGCACCTGGCTGTGCGGCCCCCCGAAGAGCCTAGCTGGGCCGTCCAAGGCCGGGGCCCACGGCGATGCGACCCAGACATGCTCGCGACGTGAGATGTCACGACGGGACGTTTGGAGTAACCGCGTACGGGCGATAATAAAACGTGCCCCTCCTTAAGGGTCCCTATTTTTGTTATCCCCGTTCAACAGGATTAAATTGCGTAGAAGGGCGCGGAGGCCGAACTTTATAACCCACGGGGGAAGTTGCGAATCGAAGTTGCTATCATCTCATGTTGACTAGCAACAGCGTCAAGCACGCTGAGGAAGGTGATGGTGGTCTCTCGAGTCAGTCTTGTGCCGAGCGCCCATGATCACCATCACCATCTTCATGATCATCATCATCGTCATCATCATTGACCATCATCATCATCATCATCATCATCAGCATCAGCATCAGCATCAGCATCAGCATCATCATCATCATCATCATCATCATCAACATCATCATCATAACTCACCTTCCCCAGGACAATCCATTAATATCCCCACCAGACCCCCGAACTTTATTATCCCCCGGGGATTATTATCGCCCGCACACGTTTAGTCCTCGATCCCCAGGAGCCTTTTCCGGGCCCCCAGACCGTCAAGAAACGATTCGGGATGCGAAGCCCGCTCTGGGGCGAGGGTCGGGACCTCCGGGGGCCCCGTATTCATCGAGTCAAGACATCGCATGTCTTAGGATCGATCAGATTCGAGATCGATTCCGGCCGGCCCGATCCGATTCGATTTCGACATTCCGACGATTTGGTGCGGCCCGATGCCTGCATGGCGCTATTGTGCATCCTGGCGCGGCCAATCCAATCCGATTCCGATTCCGAATCGATGCAGCCCGATCCGGCGCACATTCTGATCCGAGCCGATTTCCCGATCCGATGTTGATTCATCCTGGAGGCGCAGATCGACGAAACGCTCCAGCGGTGGATCCGGCGCCTGGCGACGAGCAACTCAGCGCTGGAGGCTTCGGTATCAAATCATGGGAGCCGTGTGCACCCTCGTAACTCCGCCCTGACTGCATTCATTGCGTCAGCTAGCGTCTGGTAATCAACGAGACAGCGCCGATATGGCATCGATCAGCGCCTATTCAGCGTCGATCCAGCGTCGATTAGCATCGATTGGCGTCGATACGCAAGAGCAAGCAAGGTGGTATGGAGGCTCCCGCGAGTTGCCACCGAGAGGCCCTGCTGCAGAGCCTGGCCGTCGGCATCGCGCTGTCCGCCCTCTCGCGCTCCAGGCCCGGCCGCGAGGTGCTGCACAGCGCCACGCGCAGCCTCGAGGGCGGTGAGCCCTCTGAGCCCCTCGCCGTGGTCCTCGCCGGCGTCAGCACGATGCCGGCCGAGACCCTGGGCGGGCTAATGCGGCTGCTGTGGACCAGCGCCGAGGCTCGAGTTTTTGTTGTTTGATTTCTTTTGTTTTTGTTGTTTTTGCCTTGTGCGTGTGTGTGTTAACTGTTGTTCCGTTTTTTTTAATTTGTTTATACCCTCTGATACATACCGCCCGTCATGCGCCCCCCCCTTTCCTGCCTCTTTGCGCCCCTCCCCCCCATCACGTAACGCTCCTCCCCCCCATTGCGTCTCCAGCGCTGCCGCGGTGCGTCCGGCACCACAGTCTGTCACGGTTGGGTGCGGGGGCGTTACGTTATGTCCCCCCGCGCCCCCCCCTCCCCCCCAAAAGTACTCGTTATCGAGCGAATTCAATATTGCTTCCCTCAGGGGAGGAAAACCTGGACATGCTCGCGTCGTGAACACATCGCGACCGGAGGTTTTGGTTAGTTTTCGGTCCCCGGGGGCTCTCTCCGGGCCTGAGGACCGTCAACAAACGACTCGAGATGCAAAACTGGCCGTGGGGGAAGGGTCGGGACCTCCAGGGATCCCGTATTGAAAACAACAAGACATCGCATGTCTGGGAAAGCATTGATACCGCCATCCTTGGGAATCCTTGCCTCGTTTTACCGTTTTGGGCCTCCTGGGAGACCCTCCTCGCTACAGCTGTATTGGCGTCGATGGTCTCCCAGGGCTCGAAGAAGAACAGCTTGCGCGAACATTAACTTTCGGAGCTCCGGGCGGATTTCTTGGATCGGTGCTGGGCCCCCCTGGCGGCGTCTCTGGCGCCGCCGCCAGCGCGCTCCGCTCGCCAGGGAAGGGGTGGGGGCCCAGCGCCGATCTGTAAGAATGCTGCGCGGAATCCCGAAAATTACTGTTTATGCAGTTTTCTCCTTCACCTAGGGAGGTGGGAGGGGGGTCGGAACCCAGCGCCGATCTATAAGAACTCCGCGCGGAGCTCTGACAACTGATGATGATGATGATGATGATGCTGATGCTGATGCTGATGCTGATGCTGCTGATGACGATGACGATTACGATGACGATGACGATGACGATGACGATGACGATGGCGATGATGATGATGATGATGATGATGATGATGATGATGATGATGATGATGATGATAATGATGATAATGATGATAATGATAATGATGAGGATGAGGATGAGGATGAGGATGAGGATGATGATGATGCTGCTGCTGCTGATGATGATGATGATGATGCTGCTGCTGATGATGATGATACTAATGTTGCTGCTGCTGATGCTGATAATGCTGCTGCTGATGATGCTGCTGCTGATGATGTTGATGATGCTGATGATGCCGCTGCTGCTGCTGCTGCTGCTGATGATGATGATGATGAAGATGATGATGATGATGATGATGATGATGATGATGATGATGATGATGATGATGATGATGATGATGATGATGATGATGATGATGATGATGATGATGATGATGATAAGGATGGTCATGATGATCATGATGATCATGATGATCATGATGATCATGATGATCATGATGATCCAGTTCTTCCCTTCCTCCAGAGGCGCTCGGGCGCCACACCGAGCTCGGTGTGGGCCCGGGCGACGCCAGCGAGCTGGAGGAGCTGCTGCAGTGGTGCACGACGCTCGTGCAGTACTCGCTGCAGGACCTAGGCGCGCCCTATGATGTGTTCGGAATGGTGAAAATACATGGTCGTGTTTGGATTTTCGCAAACGGTGCGTCCACGGTTCGGAACCATATGTTCGCGAACTCCCAGGCTCGCAAGGGCCTTGCCACGGCCCCTCGGTTGAGGGCCTCGCCCACGGCCGCTCGGTTGAGGTTCGTAAATGGTTCGGGAACATGTTTGCAAACGATGTTCGGGTCAGCCCCAGTGCAGGACGCGGCGGAGATGAGGCTGATCGATGCGGGGCAGCCCGTGGAGTCGCTCGAGACGGCGAAGAAGTTCCTGGAGGAGGCGGCCCCGGAGGGGTTCGACCAGCAGCTGCTGGCCACCGAGATCCTGGACCAGGGGTTCCGCGAGCTCCGGGCGGTCTGCGAGTCTTTGGCTGCTGGCAGCGGCAAGACGCCCTCGCGGGTCAACGACGCCGCCGAGACCCGGCTGAAGGCCAACATCGCCTGCCTGGAGGGCCTGCGTGCGCAGCACGAGGCGAGGCCCATGACGGCCAGAGAGCTGGCCGAGCTGGGCGATGAGGCGGCTGCGGCAAGCCACAAGCTTGAGCTCGAGCTCACTAAGCGCCAGGAGAGGGTCGCCAAGCTGATCAATTCCATTGGTGACTTCCCCACCCGTCGCCAGGAGGTCATGGCCACCTGCCTCAGTTGCGAGCGCATGCGACGGCAGCGCTTCGAGGAGTTTCTTGCCGCGTTGCAGAAGTTACTGTGGGGCGAGGACTCCTTTGCCGAGTTCGCACACGATCCAACATTAGCCCCTACGACCCGAGAGGTCATCAAGCGCGCCAGCGGCTTGGTGGACCAGGCATGGCGCGACATGGTCGGCGTGGCTGCAGAGGCACTGGATGATCGCAATCCGATTGGCGCACAGTCCGAGGACATGAGCAACGCGGCGAACCAGTACAAGGCCATGCGGCAGGAGTTGCAGAAGAACTTCAGGCGACTTGGAACGCTCGAGGAGAAGGCCTTAGAGGGTCCGCCGCCCCCGCGGGCCCAAGGGCCCAAGGCGGCAGCTCCGGCCAAGACCTCCACGGCGGCCGCACAGGCCCCGCAGCCCAAGACCACGGCCTCTGCCGCGGGCGCCCCCAGCGCCACGACCACGGCCTCGCCCCCCGAGGAGCCCCACCCCGCGGCCAGCCGCGCCCCCGCGGCGCCGACGCCACCCTCGAGCCCGCCCGTGTGCCAGGGCGGGGCGCTCCCAGCGGAAGGGCCCTCGGCGGAGGCAGGCCTCGCCGCCGTGGCCGGCGCGGGCGCTGCCGGCGCGGCCGCCGTCACGGCGGGTGCGCTGGCGTCCACAGGGGCGCCGACCGCACAGGCGGCGCGCGACGCGCCCTTGCCGCCAGCGCCGGTGACTCAGTGGTCGCGGCTGCCGTCCGTCGGCACGTGGCTCGTCGTGCGGCTGCAGGAGGCCCCGCAGCCCGAGGTGCCGAGGGAGGAGTGCGGCGAGCCGCCGTGCGTCGTGCAGGCCTGCCCCGAGCCCGGGGAGCCGTCGAAAACTGCGATGGAGCCGCCGTGCGTCCTGCAGGAGTGCCCCGAGCCAGAGGAGCCTCCGGAGACGGCGATCGAGCCGCCGTGCGCCATGCAAGAGTGCCCGGAGCCCGAGAAGCCCTGGAAAGCAGCGGTCGAGGCACAGGAGCGCGCCGAGCTCGAGAAGCCCCCCATGGCGGAGGTCGAGGCGCCCCGCTCCGTGGCCGAGGAGGTGGAGCCAGCCGAGGCTCCGCCGGCGGCTGCGGAGGAGGCGAAGCTGGCAGAGCCTCCCGTGGAGGCAGGGCTGGATGCCAAGTCGACAGTAGCCACAAAGGAGGCGAGCCCTGAGGTCCTCGCATCGCGCAATGTTTTCGAGCCCGGCGATTTCGCCTTCCCTCGGGCCCCCAGACCCTCACAGACCGATCCGGCCCAAGCATGGCGCAGAGAGATGGGGTCCTGGCTCTGGTCGCAGTTTTTTCGCGATGTTGAATGTTTGTCGCTACGCAGGATCTCAAGGAAGCCCACCGAGGCACCCGCATCGGCGGCGGATGAGGCAGAGTCAGCTCTGGCAGCGACTGAGGGAGAAGCGAGTCCAGAGGCCGCCCCGGCGGCGCCCACGTAGGAGGCGGCCCCTCCAAGCTACAAGTCAGTGCTGCACGCGAGCTTCCAAAAGAATGTGGAGGCTAATTCGATCTCGGACGGTTGAGCTGAGCTAAATATGAGATGTCAACTCGGAATGAGTGCGGGCACGGCATCGAGAGTGCCGTGGCCGAGGCCTGAGCGGCCCGAGTGTACTAGTCTCAGCAGTGTAGCTGGCGTGCGCCAGCCACCCGGGCGCGGCAGCGAGGCACGACGGCCAGCAACAGAGTGGAGCAGCCGCGGGGCCGTGGAGCAACACGGCACCACTCTGCAGCGAAGGTGCCCAGCACTCAAAGACGAGACAAATACACATAGACTTTCGGAGCTCCTCGCGGATTTCTTGGATCGGCTCTGGGCCCCCCCTCCCTGGCGCGCGGAGTGCGCCAAGGGCGGCGCCGGAGGCGCCGCCAGGGGGGTCCAGCGACGATCCAAGGAACCCTTGCTGAGCGCCAGAAGTTTATGTGTTTATGCAGTGTTTTTGTTGTCCAACCGTCCTGTGGTGTTGGGTCCTCGTTTTGAAGAGACAGCGCCCCGCGTTCGGGCCACGAAACGTGAGAGGGGTGCGCCAGATGGGGGGGAACTGCATGCGGACCCTGCCACTGGGGCCTTCAGTAGAGCACCTCATGTGGCCAAGAAGCGTGTGAGGGGTGCGCCGAAATAGAGGTGGAACAGCATGCGGACCCTGCCACTGGGGCCTTCGGTGAAGCACACTTTGGGGCCACCAAACGTGTGAGGGGTGCGCTGAAATCGAGGTGGAACTGCATACGGACCCTGCCACTGGGGCCTTCGATGAAGCACTCAATGGGGCCACGAAATGTGTGAGGGCTGCGCCGAAATGCGGAGGGCAGAGGCAAAGGATGGGAGGAGGGAGGAGGGGGAGGAGGTTCGGCGCAGCTCTCACACGTTGAGTGGCTCCCTAGGGTGCTCCACCGAAGGCCCCAGTGGCAGGGTCCGCGTGCAGTTCCCCTTCGATTTCGGCGCACCCCTCACACGCTTCGTTGCCCCATAGGGTGCTCCACCGAAGGTCCTGGTGACAGGGTCCGCAAAGCGGCCCCGCCACATTTCGGCATATCCTTCACGCGCTTCGCGGACCCATAATGAGATCCACCGACGGCAATGCCCACAACGACGGTGCTCACAACTGCCTGTGGTTGGGTCCTTCGCCAGGTGGTTCTTTTTGTCAGAGCGCGAAGTTCCACGGAGCCCCGAGGCTGCCAATGCGCGCGAGGGGCCCCGATGGGCCACCAGGGGCCACGGGCCACGGAGCCACGGCCGAGAAGTCCCGGGCGGCGCCCTCCGCGGGCTGGAGGACGCGACGGGGCCGCGACGCGAGGAGACGCCGAGCGCCACGGGGCCGCCGAGCGACACCCTGGCCGCCTGCTGGAGGCCCCGGATGGCTCGGTGTGGGGTCCACTTCTTGAAGCCTCCGAGACGGGGTCGGCGCGACTGTCTGGCCCCATCGACGCGGACCCCGCTTAGGAGGCCTCCGATGTCGACCTCGACCGGCTCGGTCCAGTTCGATCTGGACCTTCCAGTGGTCCGACGCTCTGGCGTGGCGCCGTCATCCACCCCGGCGCGTCCTAGCCGATTCCACTGCGACTTTGTGTTTGTGCGGCCCGACCAGATCGGACTTGTTGATCCGATGCTTTGGCAGCCCACCAGGGGGGGGCCAGGGGGGTCGGCTTCTGAGAAGGCGGCGGGGCCTCTGAGCAGGCATCGGGGCCTCGAAGCCCGCCAGGCTTTTGAGTAGCCTTCTGAGAACCCCCGGGGCCTTCCAAGAAGGCACGGATTCAGAAGCCCCGCTTCTTAACACGCCGCACCCCTCGTGCCTCCATCGTCCTGTCATGATGAGCTGACAACTAGCACCCATACCACAGGCGATGTCCCATGATATCTTATTATCCAGACGATGCAAGGGGTTCCCTGCCGGGAGCCGACCCGCATGACGGGGTGCACTGTGGATGACCGGCATCGCGGCCGCGAGGGTTGCCTCGTCGCCATCGGGGGGCGACTGCAACTGGGGCGTTCGATGGAGCTCCCTAGGGGCTACGAAAAGTGTGAGGGGTGCGTAAATGGTGGGGGGGCGGTCTGCGAACCCTGCCACTGGGGCCTTTGGTGGAGCTTCCCAGGGGCCACGAAACTTGTGAGGGTTGCGCCGACATGGTCGTTGGGGGGGGGGGGTATGCTAACCTTTCCATTGGGGCCTTCGGTGGAGCTCCCGAGGGGGCCAGAAAGCGAGTGAGTGGTGTGCCGAAGCGGGCCAGGGAAGGAGGAGGAGGAGGAGGAGGAGGAAGAGGACTAGTGTGAGCCCAAGAATCATCAACGATGTTGAAATACACCCTCCCTCCAAGATCCCTCTCCACAGGCCCCTGCGAGGGGTCATTTCCACCGAAGGATTTGCCCCGTTGGGGGGCAACCGTGTGAACTCAACACCGCGAATCAACATAATTGTTGCGCCCTGACAATCATGAATCGTTCCAAAATGCCATTCCTGGTACGTCAGCCATGAGAACCAGTGAAACTCTTGCAAATCTTTACGGCGAATTGTGCGCGGCGCTAAGGAGAGAGCCACAGTTTGAAGACGACCAGCCCTCAGTCTGTCAATATCTTGCAGTTTGTTTGAACGTATGTGCGCGGCGTTTAGGCGAGAGCGACATTTTGAAACCGACCCGCCCTCATCCGTGAAGCCCTTGCATGTTTGTAGAACGAATTTGCGCGGCGCTAAGGCGAGAGCCACAGTTTGAAAACGAACCGCCCTCAATCCGCGAAGCCCTTGCAAATGCTCAAAACGAGTGTGCGCGCGGCGCTAAAGGCGAGAGCCACATTTTGAAAACGATCCGCCCCCAATCCGTGAAGTTACCTGGCAAACTTTCAAAACGAATGTGCGCGGCGCTGTGGCGAGAGCCGCATTTTGAAAACCACCCGCTGTCCATCTGTGAAATCGTTTTCAATGTCTAAGCTTCAGGGTCATAAATGGTGAGAAAGTCTCAGGCGAACCGCCCAGCCCCAACTTTTCGACCAGCCTCGGGGTGCGACAGGGAGGAGTTATCTATAAGGAAAACAAAGGAGGAGGAGGAGGAGGAGGAGGAGGAGGAGGAGGAGGAGGAGGAGGAGGAGGAGGAGGAGGAGGAGGAGGAGGAGGAGCAGCGAGCACATGAAGCGACGCGCTGAGTCGAGAAGATGGACGGGCAAGACGGATGGGAAAAGGGTGAGAAGCACAATCGCACACATAATGACGAGGGCATACCCTGCAATAGCCCAGCAAAGCATCACGGTCACAGGGCACACGCTCACTCACCAACCAGAGGCCTGGCCAGGAGCAACACAGGAATTGGATGGCAGAACCTGTGGCAAACACGTGCAACGCACCGACGATCAACCACCAGACAATGCACTACACGCGGGAAAACAACATAACGAGTTATGAACTTATGTTGGATTATGATGCAACCCCAGCCACTGCACCGCAGGATCGGAAACCTGAAGCCTGCGGGGCGTGGGGATGGGGTGCTTCCTGCCTTCACTGGGATGACGACCCGAAGCGAAGTTATCTCTGCGCCACATCCTCTGTGGGTTGGCCACAAGGGCCTGCGGATCGCAGGCTCCAAACAAATCGGAACGGGCAGCCTTCGCAGAGAACGAGCCACACCTCGTGCAACCTATGATCTCCCCCGCCCTGTACAGAATGTGACCCCTGGGCCCCTGGCCGCCTCGGGCGGCACGAACGCAGCCCCATCCGAAGGGAGCACCTTGTTGGGAGGGACCGCCGTGGCCCTGCTCGGGGCCGCCGAAAGCCTGGGGTGCTTCTTCGAGCCATCGAGAGCGGACGCCGCCTCGCGGACCATCCCCTGGGGGCGCGGCTCGAACCGAACCCGAGGCTTCACCTGCCTCACGAAAGGCTCCGCCAACTCCCCTATCGGCCTGGCCTGACTCCTGGGCGCCTAGACCACCTCGCTGGGAGGAGGAGGAGGCGGAGGAGGAGAAGGGTCCCCGAGGCCCAAAGGAGGAGGAGGAGGAGGAGGAGGAGGAGGAGGAGGAGGAGGATCCTCGGGGTCCGCAGGGGCCATCCTGGCATCCAACCTCGGGCACGCCTCCTTGACCCACGAGGCCTCCTGAGGGTCCCTAGGGCGCTTACTTCTCAGGGGCTCAGGCTCCATTGGGGCTGACGGGGGCCTTGGGTCCACACTCTGAGGCTGAGGAAGATCCACTAAACAAACTTGCGCCATCATGCGCTTTTTGCCAGCGGCGGTTCGCGCGAAGCGCGGGCAGTTAGCGCATTTCCAGCCGCACAGCGCGCGCTCAGGAGCGTGTCGCTGCTGGTGGCGCCGGAGCGGCTCAAGAGGGCGCCGCTCGCGCCGTGCACGACCACGCCGTAGTCGTTGCTGTCGTCGGGGCCGGCGGGCGATCGTCGGCACCCTGTCAGGCCTATTCTCTACCAGCTCCTGCGTGTTGCCGATCCACGCCGCGATCTGTCGCACTCGGCCCAAGAGTTCATGATGCCGAGCGCGCGCTGCAGGTGGGGAGGTCGTGCTTGGCCAGCCCCTTCTTGGCGGCGACATCTGCATAATCATTGCCTTTCTTGCCGTGGTAGTGCCTGCTGTCCTGCTGCGTCTGGTGGCTCTTCACATACTCGATGGTGAGCATGTCGCTTAGGCCTCCATGATCATCCAGCGCACGCCAGAGGAGTCGCCACATATCGGCGTGCGCGCGACGAGGGTGCAGGCACCACAGCTTGCCATTTTTTATCCTGTCGGTCGTCATCATGCAGTCGGTGTGAATGTGGAGCGGGAGAATGCCGTTCCTGAGCGTCATGATGGCATATAGTTCTGCTCTTGACACCGACTGCTGAGCTCCAGGTAGTGGTCCGAAAGCAAGTCCTTTTCAACCGCTGATCGTCCATGAGGGCCAGTCCCCACCCTGCGCGCACACCCGCATGTGAGTGCGGCCTGCGCCATCGGTGTAGACCTCGCCCGTGATCTGATG